CATTCTGGCTTATTCTCTATGGCACCAGGATTGCCTTCGACAAAACTAAACCAACAAGTACTCTCGCTCAAAACGTATTTTCTCCAAAAGTTCCAGCAGTGGCTGACATATTTTTTCTATAAGACGAGTCCGCTCGGGAGGCGACTCGCCTCTCCATTTGTCAATGTTCGCTTTAGAATCCCTTACTAACGAGTACGGTTTCTTGAACTGTGAAGGGGCTTCGATTGAGTGGTCTGGATTTGTCCTGTCTAGGATCCACTTCAAAGTCTTGTCAGACATATTAAAACCTGCAAACTTGAAGAGTTCTCGAGCCGTATCAACCGGTCTGGCTGCGATATCCCGGTATGTAATAAGTTTGTATCTGTGTTTGAGAGACTTGTTGAGCTGCTGGCCAAACTCAATGTTTTCAACTATTTCATCACAATGTGTTTGAACCTTTTGCTCAAAGGTTGCATTTTTGTAATCCGGCATCCAACCCACTCTTATTCTTGAATTGATATTTGCCCTAGGATCACGTACCACGTGCAATAATCGGATATCAGCATTGTCTGTGCGGTCTATAATTTCTGGTATCACACTTGACAATCGTTTGTGTGGGAGGCGATCAGAAAGCTCCTTAACAACCGTGTTGTCAAAATTCTGTCTGCATTTATCAAGAAATCCTCGAAACAGTCTACCAGCAGGAAAACAACGCTTTCGTCCACTCCGGTATTTTACGCAGGCCAAGTTTTTGCTCGGTTCGACGTAGTATTTCGTCTCTTTTATGTACCAAAATGGTGGAAAATAGTCTTTTTTCCATAAATTACTTGGTTTAAACCTGCAGGAGAGGAATGCCTGCAGAACTTGTAACTTCTCGACGTTTGTAAGGTAGTGAAATCGCAACGGCTCGTAGACCTCGAAAATCTGTGGAGACAATTCAAGATGTAAACATACCGTAGTCAATCGAAAATATGCCAGAGTCCCTATTGTATTCTTTGACCTCTCTTAGCCTCCCACAAACGTGGGGGAGGAACGCGCGACGGGCCCTAAGAGCGTTTACGTGGGAGGCTAGTGCAGCGCTTATTCAAGGATGGCGCAGGACGGCGCGTAATAAAAAAATGCGGGGTATCAGTGAACTGTCCAATGTGAGGCTTTCTTCATCACTTTGCTTGTAAATTCACGTGAGTAAATGTAAAATTTAAATGGAAATATTAAATCACTAGATACAGAAACTATTTTAACAGTAATAGAAATAAAACATTTTGAAACCGCGTTTTTGTGTCTTGCATACCTTATTTTGTCTCCAACACGAACACACAAACGCACAATAAACATCAATAAAGTCATCTGTCTCTTTTAGCCGGGAGGCCTTGGCATCAATTCTAATGCTTTTATTCTTATGGAACTTATAGATAGACAAAAAGTTGTTATTATTAAAGCGGGGGTTAACATGAAGGCCGTATTTTGGCTGGGTATTACGGTTTTAACACAAATATCTCGTTCACGTTTCAAGCAGTCAAAACTCTCTCGGCTCATCCCCACATTTCTACGTTTTGAGCTGTTTTGTAAATTTTGTGGTGATTTTTGGGTATATTTGGGGATAAATAGATTTTCTCAAAGGATTAGTAAAATTTATGGAAATAAGAAATTTTGAAGATTTGATGTTGTTTTAAAATTAGAATTTGAAGTTAAAAATTGGTAGACGCACCAAACAGTTGTCCAACAACCTGGGGTGCCCTTTTGGGTGGCGTTTAACTGTCTGGTAGTGTTCCAAAAAATTTTTTTTCCTTTTAATCCCTCTTTAAACTTCTTAAAACTTCGCTTAAATTCAGGTAGACCCCCGCCTTAAGTTTTGTAACTTGTAAATAGACTAATTTTAAATCATTCTTAGGTTTTGTAATTTCTTTTTAGGTAGGTGTCCTCTGTTAGTGGAACGTTATCCCTCGGCTTAACAACCTCGACACATAAATAAAGTATTATAATACTCGGAAAAGGTGGCTAGATTGTCTAGATTCTCGGATTAAGATTTTCACTAATTCAACGCTGGTTTCTCGCAAAAAAAATATCCACTACTTGATCTTGAACTAAAACCTTCCGGGTTGGCGTAATCAGAGGATTTCAAGTAGAGATAAACCAGGAGACATTTCCGGGAAAATCTAAGTCCAACAATCTAGCCTATCAACCATGTGTCTCCATAGACACCTTTTTCTCGTCCCAGGACAGAATAACAATGAAGCAAGCCTATTTCTAGTTTTAGGTTATTTCTTTTTCTTTTTCTTTTTCTTTTTCGATTTTTGGCTGATCAGATCTTTTACAGATCCTGTGTATACCAGCAGCATTTTCGTTTACGGTCCCTTGCATCATTTGTATTCCAACGCCATTCAGCTAAGAGGGACAAGCTCACAGGCTGTGGACGAGCTCAAAGTACAGCCCATAAATATTAACAACTTCAGTTCAGTTTTTAGCACAGTCCTCCCTACTGATAACGTTTGGCTAGCGAGACTCCAGGGTATATGAAAGCGAAGAAAACATTTGGCTTTCCTGTAAGGTCCTTTAATCTCGGAATCGAAGTTTTTCCTAATCTGAGCACGGTAGTTCTTTACGAAAAATTTTCGAAACTTCGTCTGACATGATAATTTACGAGTCTTTGTAACAAGCTTGATGCCATTTTGAACTTTTAAGCTGAGACTCGGAAGACCGCTTAGGCGACACCCTAATAAGGCTAATTTTTGTCATGCTCAAGATTATTGTTTGACAGTACGATGGCAGACAAATACTTCACCGGATAAACCTGTATCGATTTTTAAGTGTCGAGGTACTCTCCGGTTCCTACCCTCTAGAATATAAACAGTGCTCTTTGAACCTTAATTTCCCATTTCCTGCGTGTGAAGCGAGAAAATGAGCTCATATTATGAAGAACTTCCAAAACGATTTCCTCTTTTAGGGCCTGATCACATGGCGAATTTCAGCCCGGCTCCTGAAACAAATTCTCATGAAATCAAATTGGCGATTACATGGAGAAGGATTCAGCCCGGGCCCCAATGCAGCCCGGGCTGAAAAATCTGAAAAAATCCCATGTAATCGAAACGGAATTTCAGCCCGGGCTGAAAAGCAGGAAACAAGATACTTGCCGCTTCGAAGCAGAAGCGATTTCAGTGGAATGAAGGCGATAAAATAGAAAATCTCTCTAATTTCAAAGCTCAGATGGAATATAAGAATATCGAGACAAGGTTAAACAGCACGAGGCTGTCAGGGAAGCCATGAACTCGGCAAGCTTGAGGACATATTTTCTTTCTATGCAAGTAGGTCTTTCTGGCCCAGAGATATGTAGCCTAAGACAGGCTTTGTCTCAGTTCCATCATCATTGTAGGCTGTCACTATCCCAAAAAGTTAAAAATTGAGCTCCAACAAGAGGCCAAACTACGAGAGAAGCAATGCACCTATTTTCGCGACTCGTGTTCTCGGCGCTATTTTGATTCTCCTGAGACTTTTCGCACACAATTTCGTATTTGGGGCCGAGGCTAATATTTCAGCCCGGGCTGAAATTCGTCATGTAATCGCAACAAAATTTCAGCGCCCCCTAGCAGGGCTGAAATTCCAGCGCGGGATGAAATTCGCCGTGTAATCAGGCCCTAAATTTAGTTTACTTACCCGATCCGTGCTTGCAAACATCTTGGACACAAAACTAGTTCCTGAGCGACCTTTTCCTAAGATCAGCAAACTCCTTCGTGGCGAGTCTCTGGTTTGATGCGACGCAGCGTCAGAAACCAAGTACTTTGAAAGCAAAGGTGATAAACTTGGAAGACGAACATTTAAAGACGAAAAGCTAACTACTAAAACGGTTAAAAAACTGATGATGGCGAACAAGCGGAAATCGAATTGCCTTCGCATGATCGAACTGACTGAGAACTCGACAATGCGCTAAATCTTATGAGTGCGACCTTTGCTCTAAGCTCGTGAATTCTGATTTGTGATGTCAATAACCTGAAAAGCGCCAATCTTCGCCACTCAAACTGTTGACAAAAAATAAATTAAAAGCCCCTTATGATTTTTTTAACTCCAAAAGTGGCGTGACATATTCGACGCAATTCTGCGCGCGGGGTTAATTGTAAACATTTTTCTAAGAAGGTTCATTGTTTACGGCAAATTAAAAGCATTTCTGCTGACAAAATTAGTTCTTTTATCATAAAACACAGGAAATAACTTCTTCCGTTCTCTATGTTGTTGTTATGTCACAGTTCGTACTATGGGAATATTCAATTATCGTTGAACGATGATTTTCAGATGACGACAGCTAACGGTGAAAAAGTTTAAAATATAATAATCTCGATAATCTGGAACTAGATTTTCTCACTCTTCTCCCAAAGGAAATATCTGCTTTCTGAGACAATTATAACCTTTGTCACGATTTGTTTTTATAGCAAAGAATGCCTTGGCTTGTTCCTGTACGTTCTTTGTTCTGTTAGATAAACACAATTTAGAGTGACGTGCATTGTACTCCTGAACTGTTCAGATCTTCAGAAAATACTTATTTCGCTTTGCTGTGAGCTCTCGTCACTGGTTAATCTCTGACAAAAATGAACAATATTTTCATTTGAAATTGAAAGTGTAAAACGATTCTGTCATTTAAAAGGTTGAAATTTATTTTCTATTGTATTCTCAATTAATATGGTACAGGAAGAGCGAAAATTCAGGAAAATTCTTAAAATGTTATGAAGTGAATTTTTTCTTACTATAACACTAATTTCTGAAGCGTTGAAAACCAAAACGGAAAATATGTACCCGGAATGGCCAGAACGAAAAAACAAATCAAGCAATCTTATACTTAATTTTGTTTTTATGTACGTGCAACATAATTAACTAACATCTGAACAAACTTCGTTCCGGACAAATTATATCATGGAACATTCGAAATATAGTCAGTATCTAGGAAACCAGTAGCGCTAATAACATTTTACCAATCTTTTTCTGGACCCCATTTAGAATATCCCCTGCAGGTAGGTGCTCCAGTCGGGAAACTTATAAACTGTTTTATTGGACTATTATATTGGACTTTGAGGACTGCCAAAGAGAGTCGGCACCTAGGAAACTGGATGAACTTATTCCATTTAACAAACTTTTGTCAGGCCCCAAGTGGAATATGCAGGCGCGGCTTTTTTACGGAAATCGGTTAGATGTTTCAGAATTACTCAGAAAGCCCCAAAAGGGGGCGTCAGGGATAAAAAAATCCAGACCATTTCCTAAGGGAGCATGGCCCTGGACCCTTCTGGAAGGCATTCGTTGTTTCGGAAATCAGTCACCATTTGTCCTAGATCCGCTGGCGCCTGATATGCCCAGCAGTTGCGGGTTCCAAACGCGAGACAGGGAAAGTGGGCTATCATTTTGGACATTGAGGACTACTAAAGATAGTTGGTATCTAGGTAACCAAAAGTGCTAATTCCATTTTACAAAACGTTTCTTAGTTCCCCGTGGAGTATGCAGGGCAGGTGAAGACGCAACCGCATTTTAATATTTATTACTCAATATTAACGAGAATAATTGAAGGCACGGGTTTACTCCCTTATCGTCAAAGGTGAAAACATCTCAGATTAAACAACTTTATTAGAACGCGGAATGCGTGTCGACTTAACCCTGGCTGCCCGGACATCACTTTTCAAAATTATCTGACTGTTCCCTGATAAAAATAACATTTCCCAGACCAAATAAATACAAAATGTCAGATTTAGTTAGGCTTCTATTCTTCCCTACGGCCGTCCTTTCCGCCCATTCATTAAAACTGATATGGTTTCAACAATTTTTCCTTCTTCATCAAGGAAAGGCATCGTTGAGATCACAGTGACACCAAATGTTTCTTCCAGCCTTCAATACGTTTCTACAAAATGCCAATTTTCTCCGACTAAAATAATATTCCCTGACTTTTCCCCGACCTTGAAGAATTTTGTTTTTCCTGACCATTTCCTGACCCGTGGCAATCCTGTTAACTGAAACTTTCAAAACATCACCGGTAACGTGAATTATCATCATAATATGTGATCAAGCTCGTAATCTTGGGCCTGTCCACACTACGTCGGAGAAATTTGAAAACGCAGCTTTATTTCTACGGTTAGGCCTACCGTCCACACTAATCCGTCACGAAAACGGAGCTTTTCGAAAACGCTCTTCAAACCGGAGGAATTTGAAAATAAAACGCCGGCATTGCGTTTTAGTGTGGAAAGGAAACATTTTGAAAACGGAGCTTTTCAAAAACGATGACATAACGATGATCACGTGATTTCCCTGCCCGAGTTTTCCTCAAACACAAATCCAGAATGACCGGTGATTGTTGCGTTTTTAAATTCCTCCGGCTTAGTGTGGACGGGGCCGTTATAGCCATTGCGTATCATCCCTTAAGATAAGTACATAATTTTTTTTTAATAACAGCGTTATCAAATATTCGAACTAGTTACCAATGTCACACGCATAGAATTTAGTATTTTGGTTCGTGAACATCAGTTGTTTGGCATTTTGTAGTTACCACGTTAGTCTTGTGAGTCTAGAGCCCGACTGCCCCCACACATGACTCCAAGTTGTTTATCTTAGTTTTTCGAGGGTACTTAAGCTCCGAACAATACCCCATCGATGGTCATGTTTGGGTTTGTCTACTGGCCTTGGTCTGAATCTCCCAAAAAGATCCTGTTTAGGTTTCTCGTTCTCTAAACTTTAGTTTCTTTTGGTTATCACAAGAACTTTGTTGTTCGCTTCTAAAAGTCGCGTGAAAGTGTTTGGGTTAGTATTCTAAAAATGATGTTTTATCCTCCAAGGTCAGTCGTCCCGTGTGGCCCACACATAGCTAAATGATAGGCTATTTAAGTGCGTGTGCATTTGTTAGTCAAGTACTAGCAGTAGAAGTCGAAGCAGTATAATTTTGATGAAGATTGTGCAAGACCGTGACAGTAGTCCAAGAGATCAAAGATCCAGAGACCAGATTCTCGTTACCTCCACGTTTGGATGATGGAGGGATTTCCGATATGAGTAAATTTTCAACCGAACTGGTGATAAAAGTGAATATGTATAATATTTCTTAGCTAATCGGATGCTGCCATACAAGGCAAAATATTTTCCTCTGATGTAGTTGCTATCTAATAGCCTAGTTTTATTCCTTTTTCCCGTCAATTTCTTTAGCTATGGTTCCCTGTTGCAGTTTTAAAAAATACCATGAAATACGTTTACGTTTAAATGTTAGAAATAAAACGCAAGATCATAAACACAATCAGCGACAGTATTGCGGCGTGGAAAGCGTTCTCTGTTGTTTGATCAGCCTTGCATCTTCACAAGGGAGCCCCCAAGGCAAAATAGCCGACCATGCGCAGTCATTTTGCCGCTGTGCCCCTGCATTGCAGGCTAATATTTAACGTACACCGCGGGCCTGACCAGTCAAGCCAAGGCGGAAAAAGGCCGGGCGATGAAACGAGCGGGTCCGAGCAAAAAGGTGTGATCATAGTTAGTAGAACTATGGTGTGATGCAGTAGATTTGAGCTTCGATTTCTAAATAAATTCCACTATTTCTTTTCCATATGAATCAGCAACTGTTTTGGCGCATTTTTTTGTTCTGAGGCAATGGGAAAACGCGAGTTTTTCAGGGTTGAAAACAGGACTTCAAATTTCGCGCTGTGAATGAGTAAGATGTACGCTCGCCCTAGTTGTACCACAGTGAGCGCACAATCTTGTTGAGTTGGAAGAGAATAAATAAAGGAGTAAAAAGAATGAATAGTAAATCTTTGTCTCCTGTTGTTATCTCTTACGCGAAACCGCTACCTACATAGCTTGCGTAACACTGAGCGTAACACTGTAGCGCTAAACTCATACCTAGGCCTTTTCGCGCTGTGCAAAATCATATTATTTTGACAAGGGAGTCAGTTTTTTTGCCCAAGCATTTTAAACGTAGTCCGAAAATTCGCCCGAGTCTCTAAATTTCGCAGCTTCCGCGAAACCACATAAACACAAAACGAAATTGAAAGATTTTTTTACAAATAGCTTTTCGCAACATGATCGTACCGTTAGCCTAATTCCAAACGCGTCATCCAGCGCGCCTTGGCTCTCCCCTCCATCCCCCACACATGCTCTTTTGACACGACCAATCAAACTGGAAGACCGGGCGGGGTACTCTACAAAAACGTTGTACGGAGAGGCTCCGCCCCCAGGAAAAACCCTTCACACTTTTTTGTACCATTTTGACAAAAAATGTACTCCTTTTGCATACCTTTTATTGAAAAAAGATACCTCTTTCACGTACCTAATGGTCATAAAACGACCACTTCATCCCTTCTCTACATCCTTAGAATAAAGTTAGTGAAGAATACTACAGGAGAACATCAAGCATAACCAGAAGAGATGTTTACCAAAAAGCAAGTATCATTTATTCAGTTCCCGTTCCCGTTATACTTAAACGACAGATTTCCCTGCCCTTTCATATACCTCAACTTGTGAAACCGCCGCCCTTTTATATACCTGAAGCCTGAAAAAGGTACCCCTCTGGGGCGAAGCCTCCCCGTATAGGCCGGTATAGGGGGTACTCCCCCCGGGTCTCGAAGTAAATTCATTTAGCTGACGCTAAGCGCGGGAAAACGCGTGCGGGTAATTCAGTCACGATTGAATATTTCCAATTGAATGACAAAGAGACAGGAGGTTTCTTAAGCCGATGGGTTTTTAAGCCGGTTACTTTCGAACCTCAAGTGCAAGCCACTCTTCACTTTGTTGTAATGTCAATTAACGTTTTAATTAGTTAATTTGTTTTAATTGGCCCGGTTCAAGTAGTGGCACTGTAATATTAGAATTGTAACCCAACATATAAGTCATTAGTAAGTCAAAATTCGATTTATTTTTGTCGAGTAAATTTCAAGTCTACTAATTTCACATTCCTTTCTTTTCCTTCATTAGTATCCTAAAAGAAACCATCTTGAATGTTTACGGGACTAGAGTGAGGGCAGTCTGTTGTTCTCTCGAAATGAGGCAGGGATTATGAGGCGAGACATTTTAGACTAGAAGGGAATGGGACGAGACTTGCGTGGGGTACTCGCCCCAACCCCTTTTCGTCCTTACCGCCCTCGTGTGTTCTTGTTCACGGAAAAACACAGTAAGAGAAAAGACCAGTTGCCAACAGTATATTACGGTCCTTACAACGAACCTATTGAGGCATCTTTAGGCTGGCGAAGAAATGTCAACGAAATATAAAGAAAGACAGTGGTTGTTGTATTCCAAGTCAATTATCTTCTCGCTCTTGGCTAGTTATCTACTACGGGGCTGCAGCTCCGGCCCGCCGTTTGTTTAATATAGAACGATGTTTTTACATGCGGGGGCTGATAAAAG